GATGGCGCGTGTATGCGGCATGCGATAAGGATCTGTCCAAGTCAGGCCGAGGTGCGGTGCTGGTCAGTGCTTCTGGACATGTGCGGAGCCCTCGAAGGCTACTTTCCTCAGGCCAGTGTCGTGGCCAAATCTGCTGCCCCGACTTCGGCGGCGAGCGTGCTTCGTGGCCCTGTTGCTTTCTTTAGTGATAGTCAGGTTGTGGTGGATCAGTTCAGCCAGGGCCGCGAAGATCTGTTGTCTCTTCGACGGCCCTACAGTGGTTTGCAATCAGGTGAAGAGGCGCGCCGGCAGGATGGCGCCTCCCTTCCAGCTTGGGGCGCGCGCGCGCGCACTGCAGGCAATAATGCCGCGGGCGAGGCGGCTAAACAGGGCGCCCGTCTTCGTCCTGTCAGGGATGACGAATTCCGAAAGACACTGTGTAGTCTGATCATTGCATCGAAGGCGGCCGCAAGCTTACCCGCACAAGTTGTGTGTTTTGGCTGCGGATCGACTTCGGTGGTGTCGAGCGTGCTCCTGGTACGGCCCGCACCCCGAAGTCCGCGGGCCCTGTCCGTGAGTGGCTGTGGGTGGGAAGATTTTTTGGCAGTGCCCGCCGTGCCTGCCGGGATCCCGCAGCACCGTTAAGCCGCCAGCGGGTACATGTTCTCGAGCGCTGAAGGTCCAGCCGTCGGCGCTGCGAAAACGTTCACGCCGCTGCATTGTGATAGACTTGTCTGACGACAGCTTCGCCCGTGTCCAGTTGTGCTACGCTTTTACTTCGGGAGCTCAGGTGCGAGGTCTTGCGAAGCAGTGCCTGGAGCGACCCCCGAAGCGCAGCGAAGTTTAGCCGAGAATGCGCAGGAGACTCCACCCTGACCACAAGAGGAAGGGGGTCTCGGCCGAACTCGAACCCAGCTGCCCCAGCTGGAAGCATGTTGCCAAGTAATTTTCCGATGTCTATAAGGTGTTTCAAACATTTTTTTTAGTATGAAAAAAACAAAACAACTGTGTAAAATACATGTTTTAGACATGTTTAGAACAGGTTTTACACATTTCAAACACATCTTTAATTCAATGATGGGACTGTTGGGATGTTCACTGTCGTGGCATCCGCAACCCTTGCACGTCTTCCCGCACCCCAGCGGGACCAGCACCCCGAAAGGCCTGCTCTCATGCACCCGGCCGCTCCTGCCAGGCCACGGCCTCGCCCGCTCCGCTCCCGAGCGGCCTGGGCTGCTGCCCGCGTGCGCGCGCCACCCCGCTCCGCTCTCTCGCCCTCCAACCGCGTGATCCCATGAGGAGGGCTACAACATGATGTCCAGGAGTGTCTTTGTCGGGAGGGAAAAGCACACACAGACACAATCACTCGTCGACTCCCAGGAAATATGGGGAAGTACGGGAAGTGTGGGGGGGGGGGGGAAGACGCAAATTCAGAAAATATGGGAACATATGGGGAATCATGTTATTTGTGTGTATTTATTTGTGTGTGTGTGTGTGTGTGTGTGTGTGTGTGTGTTGTGGGCCCCTTTATTGTGATTTGGATGTATGGTCGAGGCTGTGAGCAGTCGTGATACACAGTCCACCCGCATGGTGAGGATTGGCAGTTTTCTCAAGGCTACCCTTGCGTCCTTGCCTCCTCGGCCCATCCCTGGCCGCTCTCGTTGGCCGCACCCCGCTCGAAAAGTTCAGAAATTTACGTCCAAGGCCCTTGCATCCTCGTCGCGTATGCTTCTGATACGGGCCGACTGTAGGTCTACAGGTAATGGAAAGAGCGAGGTACGAGTGATGACGTTTAGTGTGGGGCGAAGCCCTTAAGGGATAGGTCCAGGGGAGGGGAGAGTCCGAGACGCAGGGTTGGTAATGGCCGTTTTCGGGTTTTCCCTTCGGGTTGTTGTATGTTTTTCGGGTTCTCCCCTTTTCCGTCCCAGAAGAGCCCAAGACCGCCCAAGACAGCCCCAAGACATCCCAAGAGGCCTCCAAGACGCCCCAAGAGGCGCCCAAGAGGCGTCCCAAGAGGGCCCCCAAGAGGCCAACATCATTGATTTTCCCAAGGGAAACGTGCATTTTTAGCATACACGGCTTTTCGGCTTTCACGGCGTTGACGACGGCCCAAGAGGCCCCCAAGACCGCCCCAAGACGGCCCAAAAAGTTCCCAAGAGGTTTCCAAAACGGCCCAAGAGGGCCCCAGGACGGCCCAAGAGGCGCCCAAGACGGCCCAAGAGGGCCCCAAGACGGCCCCAAGAGGTGGACCACGAACCGAAAAGTCTAGCCTTTCGCCCCAAGACGCTCCCAGGAGGCCCCAAGAGCCCCCCAGGAAGCCCCAAGAGGCCCCAAGAGGCGTCGGAGGCCAAAATCATTGATTTCCGAAAGGAAAACGTACATTTTTAGCATACACAGCTTTTCGGCTTTCACTGCGTTGAAGACGGTCCAAGAGGCCCCCAAGACCGCCCCAAGACGACCCAAGAGGCTCCCAAGAGGCCCCCAAAACGGCCCAAGAGGCGCCCAAGACGGCCCAAGAGGCGCCCAAGACGGCCCAAGAGGGCCCCAAGACGGCCTCAAGCACGAACCGAAAAGTCTAGCCTTTCGCTCCAAGAAGCTCCCAGAGCCCTCAAAGAAGTTCCAAGAGGCCCCCAAGAGGCCCCCCAGAGGCCCCCAAAAGGGATCCAAAAGGGCCCCAAGAGGACTCCCACGAAGGCCCAGAGACGCCAAATAATGAGCGATCGGTAACGCAAAAGGCTCTTCACACCAAGGCTCCCAAGAGCGAACGGTGACGTAAACAAGCCGATAAGACCAAGGCTCCCAGCAGAGAGCGGTGACGTAACAAGTTCCTGACACCAAGGCCCAGCCAAGGCTCAGGACCGGGCGGCAACGCATCAATCTCTGAACACCAAGGCTCCCAAGAGCGATGGGTGACGTAACAAGCTCTCAACGCCAAGGCTCCCAGTACGAACGGTGGTGCGAGTAATTTCGGCTGCTGTTTCTGAAGCGCTCCTTCCGTTTCCGTGCCGGCCCAGGTTTGGAGGGCTACGGCCGGGAACTCTTGATTCGCGTGTCGTTCCGTCAGCTCCGGCCCACCATGTCTCGGCGCGACCCGCTAATCATTTCCTGGCTCCCAAACGTCAACGTTCCGAGCCTGTCCATGCCTCCCGCCCCTCGAAGTGAGGCAGCACACTCTCAGCTCGCAGGGTTCTCGGCCGAAGAATTGGTTCTGCGGGAGGCCAGAGGCTGGTGGTCTTGCCCACTCACGAGGGAAAAAACACACAGACACAATTGATCGTCGACCCCCCAGAAAATATTATGGGAAAATATGGGAAGTGGGGGGAAGACAAAAACCCAGAACATGTGGACAAATATGGGGAATCCTGCCATGTGTGTGTATTTAGTTGTGTGTCCCTGGGCCCCTTCGCTCATGGCCTCCCCAGGAAGCGAAGTACTTCACCGCACTCGAGGACCTGTTGGCCGGAATCGGCGAGAGTTGGGACGAGTTCACCGCGGGCGTCAGGGGCGCCGAAAGGAGGAGGAGGAAGAGGGGGAGGGATGGCAGCGCCGTTTGACGGTGCCCATGCCTTCAGCCTTGACGAGGAGGAGGAGGAGGAGGAGGAGGAGGAGGAGGAGGAGGAGGAGGAGGAGGAGGAGGAGCAGGAGGAGCAGGAGGAGCAGGAGGAGGGGAGGGAGGAGGAGGAGAAGGACATCGGAGAAGAAGAAACGGCATCAGCTTAATACAATGTTCGGAGTTCCGCGCGGAAATTTCCGATCGGCGTTGGGGACCTCCTGACAGCAGCTCCAGAGTCGCCCCTCAGGGAGGGGCTTACAGCTCCGGTCCACCAAGTCCGCGCGGAATTCCGAAAAAAGGATCTGTTTATGGAGTCTGTTCTGTCATCTAGGGGCATCGATCGAGTTCTGTGTATGCGTCAGAGGAGCGAGAAGTACGGCAAATGGTACGGTCAAAGATGCTCGGGTTTTCTTGTCGCTCCGCGCGGGGCGCCGAAATGAGGAGCAAGATGAGGAGGAGGAGGAGGTGGAGGACGAGGAGGAGGGGTGTCGATCGAGTTCTCAGAGGAGCGAGATGTAATGGTCATGACACGTTCCGATAAGGTCAGGTGTTCTCGTCGCGAGCGGCTGGAGACGAATGACCGATCATGAAAGGCGAATGCTGCCAGAGTCTCCGATATTCCCGGAACGTATCCTGAGCCAACCGCATCATTGCATGGCATTGTTGCCGTCGTTTTGGGCTAAGGCTTCTGGCAGCTCCGGAGGCCTCGTGAGATCTTTATAGAGAGGAGAGATCCAGAGACCTCCAGGGGGTAGGCTCAGGGGGGGTGCATCGACCTCAGTCCCCCGACCATCGCCAGCCAGGGCTCGGACGCACAGCCAACCAATCCCAGGAGCGTGTTGTTTCAACCTCGGGGGCCTGACACCGACCTGTCGGCGATGTATCGCCGATTCCAGGCTGCTTCTTCCCCCCTGAGCCAGTGCCCTTCGTTCAGCTTCCCTCATCAAGGCAACACGGTCAAGGCCGTGGAAGTTGTCTGGGGCGCCCTGAAAACGTCGGTCGATGATCTCGTCCCGGAGGAGTGGGCGGACGACGACACGTATGCTCTCGTGATGGGTACCGTGGACCGCGTGATCGGTAACCTCTCCCATCACGTGCTCGAGTACAAGCGCCGGATCTTGAACTCGAAGGTTTGGGGGGGAAATCAGGGGCAACGTTACGTGTGCATGTGCGTTTGCTTTCTTCTGCTTCTTCTCCCTTTGCTCTGTGCCGGGATTGCTTGATAATTATTTTATGTAGTTTTGTTACGATGTTGCTTCATCTGTTGGCCCCCGGGGTCGCTATGAGCCTAACGGTGTCATGGCACTCATGTTTCACGATCTAAGCACGCGCGCGACAGCGCCAGCGGGAGTGAAGGTTCACGAGGAGGAGGAGCAGGAGGAGGAGGAGAAAGAGGAGGACGAGGAGGAGCAGGAGGAGGAGGAGGAGCAGGACGAGGAGCAGGAGGAGCAGGAGGAGCAGGAGGAGGAGGAGGAGGAGGAGGAGGATGAGGGGGAGGAGGAGGAGGAGGAGGAGGAGGAGGAGGAGGAGGAGGAGGAGGAGGAGGACATGTTGCAGGCCCGAAGAGGCAAAACAAACCGTGGCGCTCAACTAAGCGCGGGCCAACGTGCCCTGGCCAACGGCCAACGTGGCCAACGGCCAAGGCACACGCTCAAAAAGTGGGAATCACGGACACAAGCTGGGACCTGACCTCCGGCTCATTTTCCCTGACTAACTCCCAATCGCGCCAGAAACGCTGTGCCTTAGGGAGGAAATCAAGAGGAAGACAGCAATCCAAGGACCGCTCTACACCCTGCGCCAACATGGCGCATGGGGGTTCGGGATCTGCGCCCAAGGGACAATACACGGAGCGTTGCCCAGCGCCCGCACCCCCGCAAGCTCTGCAACACTACTCCAGATTTCGTTAATAAAAGGGAGGGGGTCTGGACCCTCTAAGACAAGCCATTTCAGACCTCCCCCGTGGGAGAACCCTCCAGAACATCGTCCCCAGACCCCCCCAGGCCTAGCCTGGAAGAGACCCCCCGCCCGAAATGAGACCCCCCTCCCTTTATATGACGAAATCTGGGGCATGCCTGCGGCAAAGAGCACTGCAGCCGAGAGGTGGCAGGCGGGAAGCCGCGGGCCCCGTCGCCGTGATCGTCAGCGGCGGTTCACCTCGGGCCAGGAGGTACCACTGGGTCGCAGGCCTAGAGACTGACACCAACACCAATTCCGGCGGTGTGCCTCCACCGAGGGAAGAATGTCCCGATCTCGGTGATGGTGGTAATATTCTGGCTTCCGAGGTGGCCGAACTATTACCACCAACGCCGGAAATCTAGGATCATCTTCCCCCTGTGGAGGCAACCCTCTGTCTTGGTGTTGGTGCCAATTTCCAGGCCTCCGACTGGGGGTCTCCCCGCGCCCAGGCCGCACCTCCTGACCGAGGTGGCAGGGTACTAGAAGCCCTGGCCTGACAGCTGCAACGGCGGCAGCGGCGGCGGCAGGCCGGGGGAGGAGGGGGGGGGAGGGCCACTCTCGGGCCCAGGAGCGCAAACAACGTCCACCAGGGAATTTTATCCAGGGCCGCGCCGCAACTCCCAGAGAGGAAAGGGCGACGGACCCGACGACGAAGCGAGACACGAAGGACGACAACGAACGACCACCGCCCGTTCCTGATCGCACCCGCGAGCGGGCGGGATAAGGAGCGTGACATCATCGGACCCACACCGCATTCAGGCGGTGCCACACGGAGCCCAGGCTGTACCGCTTAGTGGAGGAGGAGGGGGAGGAGGAGGAGGAGGAGGAGGAGGAGGAGGAGGGCTTCGGGGAAGCAGCGTCACAGCGGTGCGGCGTCGCACGGCCGTCGGACTTCCCCCGGCTGCGAGGCCGTCTGCATTGATCGGGCTTTGGGCCTCTTGCTTGTGCCGTTGCGGTCCTTCCTCTTTCTCTGTATGATGCTCTCTGCTCCTCTTCATCCTCTTCTTCGCCCTCCTCTCTACTCCTCGTCTCTTTCTATGTGTATGCTTGTATGCAAAGTATATATATATAGATCTCTCTCTATCTCCCCTCTCTCCCCTCTCTCTCTGCCCTCTCTCTCTCTCTTTCTGTCTGTCTCTCGCTCTCTCTCTCTCTCTCTCTCTCTTTCTCACTTCATCCCGCACCACCTTTTGTATCAAATGGCCTTCGGCCCTTCCCGCCACTGTGTCTGGGTTGTGGGTATGAAGCTTATTTGATGTTCGTTGGAATCTCGTGGGATGCTTCTCGGGGGACTCATTGGAGGCAGTTTGGACGCCTCTTGGGGGCCGTTTGGGGGCCTCTTGGGGCCTCAGTTTAGCATCTTTGTGGCCTCTTGGGCGCATCTTGGGACCTCCCTCCTGGGAGCCTCTTGGGGCCTCCTGGGCGCCTCTTGAGGCCTCCCTCCGGCCTCTTGGGGCGGAAGGCTTGGATTGTCGGTTCGTTGTCCCTCTTTGGGGCCCCTTTCGGTGCCGTCTTGGGGCCTTCTTGGGCCGTTTGGGGTGCCTCTTCAGCTGTCTTGGGCACTCTGGGCCGTTTTAGGGCCCTCTTGGGCCATTTCAGAGCCCTCATGGAGGCCTCTTGGGCTGTCTTGGGTAGGTCTTGGGGGCCTGCAGGGCGGTCTGGGATCGTTCTGAAGCCGAAAAGGCGAGAACGCCAGAAGCTTTCAAAAACCGAAGGACCATCAATGATTTTGACCTTGGAGGCCTCTTTGGGCGTCTCGGAGGGCTCTTGGGCCGTCAGGGGATCATCTTGAGCGTCTTGGAGCGATCATTCGGCGACTCGGGGCCTTCTTGGACCGTCTTGGAGGCTTCTTGGGGCCTAGTTGGTCCGTCTTGAGGCCTTCTTGGGCCCAGGCCCGAACAAGTCACGCGACAGACCGCGCCACGCCCCAAGAGATTTGAGCCGAGGGGCTCCGAACCTTTTACAAATCATTTAAGAGTGGGGACTGAGGCTTAGAGGGGTTGTGAGAGGACCTGAGGACACGCCCACGCCGTGCCCACAGGCACGGTGGCGGACATCATCCGCTTTGTAGAATATCATCCCTCCGAGTCTTTTTGTTCCGAAGGTCTGCTACAAGCGGTCCCAGCACCGCGAGAGGGCCCGCCCGAGTGTTTGCGACGAGGGCTACGAGTGGGACCAGATGACGATGTGCCTCCCTCAGGCGGGGCCCTCGACTGCTTCCAGCGATGTTTGACTGCATTCGATGGCGTTCGACCTCGCGGATGCTCCGCCCGGAGCGTATCCGTGAGACCGCGTATCCGCGGGATCGGGCCCCAGAATCCAGACCGCGAGGACGCGGGTTCAGGTATGCTCGCCCGTTTCGGTGCCACGCGCTTCCTCCCCGCCAGGGCAGCAGCAACGGCGCTCACTGCCTGCCGCCGTGCGGCGGGCAGGGTGGCATGTGCGAGAGCTTCTGTGGCGAGGGCATGGCCTGCTGCAGGCAGGGCGACTCGAAGGACTCGAGCCCGAGCAAGAGAGCGGCACTGCCTGGAGGTGCGCTCAGTCGGTCCTTGGAGTTTGCTGAGGGTCTGAGGTGACCGAGCACTGGCTCCAGCCAGCAGGAAGGGGGGGAGGAGGTTTGAGGCCGGGGTGTCTTGTTGCATTTTCGGCTTCGGGGCCCCGGGACCGTGAGAAACGGATCCGAGGGGGGGGGGTCGGAGGCCGGAATTTCTACATGACCACCGCCTGGAGGATCAATTTTCGGGGACCTCGGCAGGCAGTGGATGCGGACATATTCGGCCCCCCGGAGGCCAACATACATACATACATACATCCATCCATCCATCCATCCATCCATCCATCCATCCATACATACATACATCCATACATACATACATACATACATGCATACATACAGACAGACAGACAGACAGACAGACAGACAGACAGACAGACAGACAGACAGACAGACATACATACACACATACACACATATCTACATACATACATCCATACATACATACATACATACATACATACTTACATACACACATACATACATACATACATACATACATACATACATACATACATACATACATACATACACACATATACACACATACGTACACACGTACATACGTACATACATACATACACACATACATACATACATACATACATACACACATACATACATACATACAAACATACATGCATGCATGCATGCATGTATGTATGTGTGTATGTATGTATGTATGTATGTATGTATGTATGTATGTATTTATGTATGTATGTATGTAGGTACATATATATATATATGTACATGTGTGTGCATATATTTATATATATATATATATCCATATCCACCGATCCCTGGGACACCGGGACGTCGGTTCCCAGGCGGCGGATGTGGATAAATCTCCGCTTCGCTAAATCTCCGCTTCGCGGGGGGGGGGGGGCGGAAAGTACACGTAAGTCGGGCGTGTTCCTCTACAGGGGGTATATCCAAAAATAGTCAACAATTGCGCTACCGAGGAACCCCACAAACTTATATTATGGTTGGGGTGATGGTAGCTGAAGTGAAGCATGTGAGAATGATATTGGTGGCCATTCCCTGCGCACCCCCTATGGTGTCTACAAAGTGCCACGCCTGCTAAGCCCTGGTCGACCGGCTCGGATAGCGGCCGCGCTCAGAGACCACCACCTGCGGACCCCCTAAAATTACGCGAGTATGCCACGCCTGCTACGCCGTAGGCGACCGGCTCGGATAGCGGCCGCGCTCAGAAACCACGACCTGCAACCCGCAAGTGGTGCGCGTGGAACGAACAGAGGTAGCAAGCAGAACTGCTGGGGAACGCTGAGGGATGAAGGCCTGCATGGGCGTGGACTGGACTGGCGTGGACTTGATGGGCGTGACCTGCGCGGGCGTGGAAGCGCCCCCGTTGCCGACATCGCCGGCTCGCCGAAGTTTTGCCAATGGCGAGCCATCGCCCTCTTCCGACTTCCCTGGCTGATGAGCGGGGAACCCTCCGGAGGAAGGGTTCAGGTCAGCAGGTACCTCACCAAGCGCTCCCTCCTGGTATCGTCGCCCCCTCCTTGACCTTGATGGAGCAGTTCATCGTACTTGTTGAGAAGCGTATCGGGCCACCAATTCTCCAGTTGTGGGTGGTAGGAAGTAAATGCGTGTTTGACCAAAACTGCATCGCGACTGCGCAAATTGACCCTGCTAACCTCGACACCTGCGTCTGTCATGCACTTCTTCATATTCAAACATGAAGACGGCAGTGCGTCAATGGGACATTTGGGCGGCATGAGCGGCGCGGGGGGCAAGGCAACACCTGCAATATTTGAGCAGATTCGGGCCAGGGTGTCTACGGTTCCGGCTGCCGCGCATGCCGCGCTTTCCCGCCATGGCACGCAGATGGGGCCGCGCTGAGAGACCACCCCACCCCCTGCGCACCCACTGACTGCCCCTGCCACGCATAGAGGACCACCCCCTACACCCCCTTTGGTGTCAAGAAGCTGCCGCGCCTTTCCACGCTCTCCGACCGTGGCACGCATAGAGGCCGCGCTGAGAGACCACCCCCTGCGCACCCCTCTGGTGTCGAGCAAGGGCCACGCCATCCACGCTCTCCGGCCCTAGCACGCATAGAGGCCGCGCTGAGAGACCACCCCCTGCGCACCCTCTCTGGTGTCGAGAAAGTGCCACGCATGCCACGCTCTCCGACCCTGGCACGCATAGGGGCCGCGCTGAGAGACCACCCCCTGCGCACCCCGTCGTGTATCGAGAAAGTGCCACGCCTGGCACGCTGTCCGACCCTGGCGCGCATAGGGGCCGCGCTGAGAGACCCCCCCCCGCGCACCCGAGAAAGTACCACGCCTGCCACGCTGTCCGACCCTGGCACGCATAGAGGCCGCGCTGAGAGACCTCTCCCTGCGCACCCCCTTCTGGTGTCGAAAAAGTGCCACGCCTGCCACGCTCTCCGACCCTGGCACGCATAGAGGCCGCGCTGAGAGACCACCCCCTCCTTCTCGTGTCGAGAAAGTGCCACGCCTGGCACGCTGTCCGACACTGTCACGCATAGAGGCCGCGCTGAGAGACCACCCCCTGCGCACTCCCTCTGGCGCGAGAAAGTGCCACGCCTGCCACGCTCCCCGGCCTTGGCACGCATAGAAACCGTGCTGAGAACCCACCCCCTGCGCACCCACTGACTGCCCCTGCCACGCGTAGAGGACCACCCTCTACACCCCCGTTGGTGTCGAGAAACAACCGCGCATTTCCACGCTCTCCGACCCTGGCACGTATAGAGGCCACGCAGAGAAACCACCCCCTGCGCACCTCCTCTGGTATCGAGCAAGGGCCACGCCATCCACGCTCTCCGACCATGGCACGCATAGAGGCCGCGCTGAGAGACCACCCCCTGCGCACCCCCTTTGGTGTCGAGAAAGTGCCACGCCTGCCACGCTTTCCGACCCTGGCACGCATAGAGGCCTCGCTGAGAGACCACCCCCTGCGCACCCCCTCTGGTGTCGAGAAAGTGTCACGCCTGCCGCGCTCTCCGACCCTGGCACGCATAAAGGCCGCGCTGAGAGACCACCCCCTGCGCACCCCCTCTGGTATCGAGAAATAGCCACGCCTGCCACGCTTTCCGGCCCTGGCACGCATAGAGGACGCGCTGAGAGACCACCCCGTGCGCACCCTCTTTGGTGTCGACAAAGTGCCACGCCTGGCACGCTTTCCGACCCTGGCACGCATAGAGGCTGCGCTGAGAGACCACCCCCTGCGCACCTCCTTTGGTGGCGACGAAGTGCCACGCCTGCCGCGCTCTCCGGCCGTGGCACGCATAGAGGCCGCGCTGAGAGACCACCCTCTGCGCACTCCCTCTGGTGTCGAGAGGTGCCACGCCTGCCGCGCACTGCGAATCCTACACGCACATCGTGTATATGGCATGATGCGTGTGCGGCAGTATCGGGACGTGGGCGTCATGTGTGTGCCCAGTCTGTAGCGCGTACGTCGTGGGTGTACGGTGCAGTGAACACGACAGGCGTGCACTAGCGTTGTATGGTGTGTGTGTGTGTGTGTGTGTGTGAGAGGTGTGTGTGTGTGTGCGCGCGTGCGGGAAACGCGGGTGCGACGCGGCAGAGAAGAAAACCATAACCCCACAAAACATGTGGGGACATAATCTTTTTTTTTTTGTTGTTTTGTTTTTTTTGTTTGTTTTTTTGATGATTTATGTTTTTTTGGAGAATTTATGGATTATTTTTTATTTTTCATCCAACATCGGCCTGTGGGGGGACACGCCCGACTTGAACTTGCACCAGACGGGCGCTGGGAGGTCCGGGTACCGATTTTGGGCGGTCGGGGCCCAGCTGGCTTTGACTCCTCAGCCGCCTCCAAGGAGAGCGGCACTGTTCGGAGGTGCGCCCAGGCGTCGGTTCCGATGTGGCCACGGGGTGGACAGTACCATGTATGGCTCTCATACGTCAAGAGGAGGAGAGGACACCCTCTGAGGGTAAGCCAGAAGAGGGCGAGACAGAGAGAGACGTAGCACCCCGCAGTTGCGGATAAGAGAGGGGGCGGCGGGGCCGCTGGCAGTCAGCGTTGCTCTGGGGAAGCCTGCCGCAGGCGCCGATTATGTACACATTGCACAACGAGCTCGCCGCAGGCGCCGAAAACTCGTCAGAGCAATGTGTGTGGGTCGCGGGTGGGTCGCGGGCTGGGTCGCGGGCTGGGTCGCGGGGTGGGTCGCGGGGTGGGTCGCGCTGTGGGTCGCGGGCGAGGACGACGACAACAACGCAAATCATGTTTTGAGATAGTTCTCTGTTGTCTGCCCGCGTGCCATTCACCATTTGTATCCCAAATCCTCGGTACCCGCCCTCTTCGTCTTCGATCGTTCCCCCTCTTGGGGGTATATCTTCCCTGCCTGTCGCGCGTAGTTGGCGCAGCTCCTTCAAGCAGGGGAAGGATGGGAGAAGTGAAGATACAAGGATGAAGGAGAACGATGGAGCACGCGAGAAATTGCCACAATCCATGGGCAGGACGTACCATGCGAGTGCGCGATCCCTGGACCAGTTCCTAGGAAGTCTCGCTTGAGAACACGAACTTGAAATACATTGCGGGAAGTCTCAGGCGGGAGCCGTTGAAACCAGGGGCCACAGACATATTTTGGTGACCGCATCCTTTCCCTGATAACAGGGTGCGAGCCCCGGGATGAGCGCTGGAATTGAAACAGAATGGTCGCCGTCGGGGGGGGTGTCAACAACAATTATTTGTAGGATGGGGGATTCAACGCAGCAGCAAATCGCACCACGGAACCCGACTTCAGCCACGCGCTCAGGGACACTGAATGTCCCTTCGCCCCCTCACTCTGATATTCATATCCAGATATAGGAGCAGAGAGAGAGAGAGAGAGAGAGAGAGAGAGAGAAAGAGAGGGAGAGATAGACATTGTGATACGTAGAGACGCGAGGGGTGGAACAGGAGGATAATAGGATGACTAGGAGTTGGGAGCGAAGCGAATGATGAGTGGGGAAGGAGGTGTATGGATGGGGGAGTGAGGACGAAGGAACATGGAGAAGGAATGACGATGAGGCAGGCGAAGCGAGGTGGGAGGATGAGAAGATGGGAGGATGTGGGGGGAAGGAGGGAGGAGAGGGGATCAGAAAGGCAGAAGGAGGGAGGAGGCGAATCTCAATAATGGGTTCAGGAGGGAGCCGATGAGGAAGTCAAGAAGGAGGAGGGGGAGGATGAGAACGAGGAGGAGGAGGACAATGACGACGAGGACGAGGAGAGCGAAGGAGGATGACGAGGGGATGGGACGAGTGAGGAGGGGGAGGATAGACGGGAAAGTGGGAGGAGGGAGGGAGTAGGGAACAGGGGGAAAGGACGGGTGAGGAAGTGAGGCTGTATGAGGGGTTGGAGTGGGATGGAGGGAGGACGGGAGAGAGTGGTCCATTTGCACTCGACGCCTTGCCAGATCGGTTCGCGACACGCTTGGCAGCTCTTGAATAGTTCAGCTGTCCTGGACGTGACTGGGACACACATCATTCATCATAGACCACCCTCTGGGTGACAGGAATCATTCTTTGGGGAGGAACGACATTTTGATGTCCAGTTCGACTGCAACGTTTGTTTTTTCGAATCATAAGCCGGTATGTCAGTTGATTACCACTTCGATTGCCATCGCTATCCAACTTTATGTATAGTTCGATGTGTTTTGTGTGCACATCGATGATGATTCCGATGCTGTGTTCGTCATGCCATTCGATATGAACGCTGGTGCGTACTTTGATGTGCACGTCGATGTCAACTTCGGCTTACACGTCGTTTTGCATGTTGGTATGCATTTCGATCTGCATTCCGTCTTGAGTTTCTACCATCTTCGGCATCTGAAAGCGTGGCCAAACGTTGGACCAACGGCTGATCAAGATGTTGGACTAAGAGCTTCCCCGATTGTCGTGAAACCCCTGTGGGACTAGTTTTTCTTGGGGTGGCACACGAGGAGGAGAGTGGCGTATGGGGGGGCAAGTGGGTGCCATGGTTCCTTCGGGGCTCCTCGTCGTGGTGGTGGTGGTGGTGGTCGTCGTCGTCGTCGTCGCATATCAGGTGTTTCGGTGGGGCATAGGAACGCTGGGACCCTTCCCATCCGAGGGGGGGGGGGAACGTAGGAACCCTGAACCCTGTATGATGTAGGTCAACGTTGCACGTTACATGCATCGCTCCGTGTTGCCTTGAGCTTTGATCTCATCACTCCAGTGCAGCTTGGGGGCTTCCCAGAATGCTCAGACTTGCCATCACGATTTGATGCTCCAGTCGAAGGATCCGGCAGAGTGCGAGGGGGCGACGGGCTTTGTTCTCCTCGGCCTTGCGGAGGGGGCGTCGACGGACTACCACCAGTGTGTGAGAGCGGGCCCAAACCTCGCCTTGACCGTGAAGGGTGCAGGCGTGCGTGCGCTGAACGGATTGTACGTGCAGTCGGGTGAGCACAGCGGGAAGCCGCGGTACGTCAAGGTCCGTTCGCAGGAGAAGACGGTTCTGGAGTGGAGCCAGTCGCGGAAGGCTTCCGGGGCATGCCAATTGGCATTTGCACCGATCTTGGCCAGGCGCGTTGGACCCAAGATTGGTGCACACGTTTTCTTGGCTAGATATCTACTCTGGGCCCAGGACAGGGCTGATCACTTTTGGTATAGAGCTGGCAGAAGGGCTAATCACATCTGCAGCTTTGGGAGGAGTACCTCTTTGGGCTCTTGACCTTGCAATGTTGCTCGTTTGGGCTATCTCAATGGGCATTTGGCCCTAGGCGACGGGGTTCGTGTTCTTAACTCGCGTTCTCGCGGCCGTGTTTTGACCACACATAGCGCGGTCGGCATTCTCGTAGGCTTGGCGCTTCTTCATCGACGATACGCTCCTCGGCAGGAACCGCCCCACGCTGTACAAGTCGGCCGAGGACACCGCGACCTTCCCGAGCTCCGGCTGGGTTGCCGAGGATCGGAGCTGGTGCAAAGAGTTCCTGGCCTGCCTCTGCTCAGACCCCCAGCCCTTTGCCGGGCGTGGCGGGGAGCGTGCGGCGGTGGCAGGCATGCCCTGGGCCCACCCCCACGAGGTGCGAGCCTGGTCGTGCCTCGCGCCTCGCGGCCTGTGCCGCGGAGTGTGCGCGTGGGGTAGCCCCTGTCGGCAATGCTGGGGGCCTGAGGACTGAGTTTGCGCCTCTGAGCACCCCTTCCCCTGCCGACTCTCCGCTGGACTGGTCGCAGGCTTCACCGAGCGCGTTCCACTACTCGCAAAGTGCCTGCTCGCACACGTCCGAAAAGCACATGTTTGCATTGATGTAGTTTATAGTAGATCCTCCGCGGGGGATCCAGGCCACTGGCGAGTAGTCACTTTGCGAGTAGTGGAACGCGCTCGTCTAGTAGGGGCGAGGTAACCCTTGGCCCGCAGCGGCGGCGGCATCGGTGCTTCCGAAGGCGGGGGCCTGCCCCTCTTTCCAGGTGCGCGGCGCGAGGCTCAGGGCGCGGATGTGGCCGCGCGTCGCGCGCCCTGGGGTGCGGCTCGCGGAGTCTGGCAGCCTGGACTGGAAGAAGAACAGAAAGGCATAAGCATACAAACTTTTGGCGCGCCGCGACGGATTTCTCAGATCCGCGCTGGGCCCCCCCTGGCGGCGCCTCCGGCGCCCTCCCTGGCGCGCTCCGCGCGCCAGCGAGGGGGTCCAGGCGCGGATCCAAGGAATCCGCGCGGAGCGCCAAACGTTTATGTCTATGGCGTTCTTTCCTCTACAGTGGGGACGCATGCCAAGAAGCACCCTGCTTGCCTCCAGGGTGCCCTGGGTTTCTTGGGCTTCGATGGTTTTGCGATGGAGAGCGCGACGCTCCCCACACCAAACATCGATGGACGTCCTGGGGTCTCAGGGTTAGGCTTCTTGTGGAAGGTTCCTTGTGGACTGGCCTCCGCTGTGGTCGCGCACCTTGGGGTGCGGCTCGCGAAATCTGGCGGCCTGGGCAATCCCTCCGACGGCGAGCACGAGCAGGGGTGGGCCGCAGGCTGCGCTTCCTGCGCACGGCCGCCGCCGTGCGCTATGGGAGTGACGCCGTGCAGATCTAAAGTTCAGTCGGGCACGTCCCTCTACAGGAGGAACATTCAAAAATAGTCTGGGGAAGATTGATTCATTATATTGACAATTTTGGAGTCTTTGAAAGGCTGCCGCCTCGTGACGCCGACCCCGATTCCACGACGTATGGTTGATTCGTTTTTCGTCAGGGTGCCACTCCGAGCACGGCAAGTTGGGTCCAGGCGAGGCATCCAGGCCTGAGCGTCGCCCCCTTGGCCCCCTGGTTCTCCGTTGCACCTCGGGACTCCTCTCCATATACAGAACCATGCTCAAACGATGATCAGGGTTCTGACGGATCGCATGGCATTTCGGAGCTCCAATGGGGGAGCCACCTGTGGGTGTTTCAGTGTGTTCTTCGCCCGAATCGTGGGAGGAGGCAGTGAGTTGGGTTAGCGTTCGGTATACTGGGCGAGGGAGTATATACTATGCAGGCGCAGCGATAAACCCATCCCCGATGGGGAGAAAGGGTTTGAGACAAGGAATCGCGATTGACCACCTCGTGCCCCGAAAGCGGGTGGGACTCTGAGCTCGGAGACCACATGCGAGAGGCTTTTGAGTCGGTTTGAGCGAAGTTGCCCACGCCGTGGTGGGCCCCGGGATACCGCCTGGGAGGGTTTTCGGCCGAGTTCGCTCGAGATATCCTTGCACTTGTGGGCTTCGGGATGCCGCGCGAGAGACGTTCCAGCCCTCTTCGCTTCACACATTCTCGCCGCCGTCCTGAGGCGATCCAGCCCGTTTTGTAAACATTCTCGCAATTGTGGGCTCCGATCTTCGCGAGAGGTCCAGCCCGCCTCCCGACAGAGATACTCGCAATTCAGGGCCCATGGACACCCTGACCTGAGGTGGTCCAGCCAGCTGAGTATCACACTTCTTCACAACTCTGGGTTTGGAGACGACCTGGCCCGAGGTCGTCTACCGATCTTCGCCCGATACATCCCCGCAACTCTGGGTTTATTGATGCTGCTTCACGTTATCCGATTCCGTTTTCTTGCAACTCTGGGTTCGCACGTGCCGTGGATTTTTCGTGTCCTTTGAGATATCCTCGCAACTCCGGGTTCATGTGCTGAGTCTTTCTCGCTTGAGACATCGTCGGAACAGTGGGTGCAGGGATGCCCAGACCTGAGGTGGTTCAATCGATTTCGCCCGAGATGTCGCCGCAACTCTGGATTCGGAGATGTCCTGTCCCTGCTGTCGCCGATGACCCATCCGACAATGTGGGTCTCTTGCTAATCACTCGGGGAGACTGCAACCCTTCTGGTTGGCAGTGGCCAACCTGACAATCGGGGCCACTTGTCAAACGGGCGGAGGCAGGTGATCATCTTATGAGGCAAGTTGCCAGTTTCTGCCGAGGGGGTGCGGGAGGAAGTAGTCTCACACGTCAATCACCCCAAGAGGCGGGCGGACTTTCCTGTGCTTTAGATGCTGTGTGGCGCTTCGGTGGAGGTGAGGCCCGACGTTGTCCCATCAGTCACACTACCTCTACTGTACTTCGCTTTGTCTTGACGATGAGAGAAGTTGTGACATCACCTCACCTTCGAGGCCGGCGGGTTCGGAAGGCATGTGGCGTGAAATCAAGTTCCTGAGATGGGCGGCCAGTGATGCGCCAGCACCATGCTTGGCCAGGGCTTCCATGGGATTTCGCCAGTGGCCCCTCATAGGCCTGGCCAACTATGGGGCCTCGGTTTCCTGCCCGATCTGATTCTTGGATTCCAGTTTCGGTCCGATCCGGCGTGGGCCATTCGGATGTGTGCCGATCCGCTTTGAGGACTCGCAGGGTGAACCTCCCGCCCTCGGAGAAAGCCAAGTCAAGTAAAAGCCGAGGGCTGCTCCGCGGGCGGAAGCTCGGCGGGAGCTGGCGGAGGTAAAGTGGGAGAATCCATGAGGGGTCAAGGGTGGCCTCCCAAGAGTCTCTGGAGGTTGCCAGCTGTTGTCCGTTCGTTTCCCCTGTCGTCTGCACGCTTCGGGCTGAGGGCCAGCTCTGTGCCGAGCCCGGCCGTCCAACGCACTGACGGTCAGCTGCGCTGGACCCCGAAAGCGGCCCCGGCGGGGCCCCTGCCGCGGTCTGCGGGCTGGGTGAAGCGGGACATCTGAACGTTTATTCCCAGCTCTCCTGTGTGTGGGTTGGGGGTGCGAGCTGTGCATCTGTCGCCACTTCGGTGGAGGGGCACGGCGGAGGTGAGGCTCTACAGATATAGTGTGTTCTTTTGTGTGCAGATTTCGTAAAAGTAGTCGCCTCGCATATAGAAGGGGTTGGGTACGTCTCTGGTAGTGCCTATGCATCTGTTGTCATATCGGCACTTGTTCTCTAATTGAGCGACGCGGCAAAAATGGGTTGACGGCGCAGACATTCACGCGTAAGCTGCCCGCGTGAGGTCGTTGTACGCGCCTCCGTTTCCCATGTGGCGTGCCGCGCAGGCGGCCCGCGCAAGCCGCGGCGTAAGGGCGTCATGTCCTCGTGCGGAGGACACCCTTCTTATTGTCGTTCACTTAGGCCTTGCCAAAGGCGTTCGTATCTGCCTCTGGGAGAAAACTGGGAACTGCATGGGGTTGCCAGGGTTGTCCTGGGACTTCCCGGGGTCGCCCCGGCTCGCCCGTGCAATGCCAGAAGGGGTCCTTATGTGTCACTGGGAGAAACCTGGAGCTGCATTGGGTTGCCAAGGTTGTCCAGGCACTTCCCCGGGTTGCCTGGGCTTGCCCGTGCAATGCCAAGCAACGCCAAGCAATGCCAAGTAGCGCAAATCTTTGCCAAGCAATGTCAAGTAGCTCTTTGTCAGGGCTTCTGTGGGTTTTCAGGGGGCTGCTTAGGGAAAATGATACCGTGCGGGGGCAGGTCGAGTGTGCCCCAACTGCCGGGCCTGCGCGAGAGAAAACGACGTGATCGCGGCGACGTCGTCGAAGACTTGAGAGACCAGAGCCTTCTACAGGCAAGAGTACGTGGACATGGGCGAGCGTCCTCGCAGACGGTGCGACAGGCGTGCGCAAAAGGTACCTTTTCGAAATGCGCAACGGGAAACGGCGAACAGTAATGTTCTGAGGCGTGGCCATGTTGTGCGGGATACGGCCGAAGATGGACGAGTTATGCCACATGTCGCCCTGCGAGTTCGCGACGTATTGGACGCCAACGTTGGGGTCGTGCCGGGCGACGGTGCAGGACACCATACATCCTCGCCATCGCGCGGAATCCATGGAAGCGGGCATGTGTGCGCCAGAGCTCCAGAAACAAGAGCCAGGAGGAGGACCTTCTTCCGGGAGGGGAGTACAGTGTGAAGGAGAAGGGTGGCGAGGAGTAGGTGCTTGTTCCACATGCCGAGGGGCGCGCGGACCTTCTCAACGCGTGGGTGCTGGAACGAACCAAGCGGCCCCTGGCGCCGACTTTCTTCGGGGCGCCCGTGCCGCGCGGGCGAATGGGGAAAGCGGAGCGGTCCGCGTGGGTCGCACTGTCGAACTTCCAGCCATTGGCGCTGAGGTCCGACGAGGCGGACGAACACGTCGTATTTGCTGGGAAATTGCGCGGTGATGCGCCGACGTGGGGCGCCGCCGTGGTTGCGCGGCTGGACGGCGGAGCGCAAACGAAGGGAGCTGCGTTGCACGCGGGCAACTTTTTGGGCGCCCGCCGCGTCCGGCCACGGGATGCGGTCAAAGCGGGGGGGAGGAGCGACGTAGACGCGAGCGCCGAGGAGTCGGGAGTGGGATTTGATGAAGTGGGCGAGACGTTGAAATCGCGAGCGGCGGCGGTGGCGGCCGCGAGGTGGGCGCCGCGGGCGCAGGCGTGTCCAGGCTGGGCACCACGCGTTGCGTCAACTCGAAAGGAGGCGTGTCCGTTGCGCAGCAGTCGCGGGGCCTGCGCGAAGGCGAGATGCCGCTCGCCGAAGTGCCCGCCGCGTGGCCCCGCGAAGAAAGATGCGACGTGGGTGAAGTTTTCAAGGCGGCGCGAGAGTCACGGAACAAGGGTCAGTCTATGGCGGACAGAGCGGCGGCGGCCGACGGGGGGTGCGCGTTGACGGGCCAGGCAGCAACGTCGGAAGACGTCGCGACGTGGCTGCGAAGACTCGAGTTCCGAGTGGACGCGCGAACAGGGCGGCGTGCGCCGCGAACGCGAAGCAGTGCGAGATGGTCAAGAAGGCCGCGCACCGTGCGATGCGAGTGATCGACGGGAGGGGGGGCCGCGACATTGGGGTGCCTTTCCGGCTGTGCGTGCGCGGCGGCCCAGGACCGGGAGAGTCGCGCATTTTGCGCATTTTTCGACGGGGGCCGATCGAGGGATTGATGGAGCTTTCAGATAATCGCGTTGCAAACAGTCGTGGCGCAGTTGCCGGGCGGCGGCGCGGCCCGCCGCGCGCGCGGTACTCCGGCAATCATGCGGGGGTCGAAAGAGCCGAGGATTGCGAGTTGCATTGCGAGACGCCGAAACGCGCGCTTAAGTGAGGTTGCCGTTCGTCGAAGTGTCAGACTGCTGGCCGAAGTGGGCGTGGAGCTTCGAGGGGTAATCAGGGGCGTCGGATCGACGAGAAGAGGCGATGGGGGCGCGCCTCGCCTGCTCGGCGGGCTGAACGTCGTGCTCAGTGGGGGCGTTGGCAGCTGGCGCCCCCCGACGGAGGCTTCCTGGCGGCCGCCCCCGCGGGGCGCATTTCTGCTGCGCGCAAGTGCGCCTCGCTCCCGCCCGTGCTCCGCGGCCAATCGCCGCTGCGGGGTGGGGCCGCGTGCGGGGTGCAGGGCGCGACGGGGCTGGCGGCGTGCGAGCGATGCGACGATGCCTGGTTGAAAGAGGTGCAGGTGGAATTCCTCGGGGGGTCGCTGACGGCGAACGCGCGCGCGCGCGCGTTTGCGCGGTCGGGATGTGCGCGCGCGGGGGGCCGGCTGGGCGGGCGCCCGAGTTGCGGGGGGCCGACGCGTCGGGCTTCGCGCGAAGACGCAGGCGAGGCGGCGCCCTCGGGCGCGGGGGGGGCGACGAAATCGCCCCGCCAGTCCCGTAGAAATCAGCCAGCAGGGGCGCAGGTTGCGCAGGGGGGCGACGCGGGCTCGCCGGCTCGTGGTCGACCGCGCCGAGGACCCGCGCCTTCAGGCGGATGGGTTCTGCGTCGCTCCTGGTGCGTTTCCGAACAGCGACGTGAGAGTATTTGTTGTTCGCCTTCTGGGCCGCGTCGCGCGCCGTGCCCCCTCCCGCTCGCCCCCCTCCCGCCCCGGAACGCGGCGCCCCCCCCCCGCCCGCGCGCCCGCGGCGCTGCCGCAGTGCGTCAGGCGACGCAGTCTGGAGCGGCGCGCTGCGCCATGGCCCCCCCCCCGCCCCCGCCCCCCAAACCCCCCGCGGCGCGCGTTGTGGCCGCGAATGTCAAAAGGGGGCCCGTGAACTACGAGGCGAGCAAACTCCCAGCATCCCAGTGCGCGCGCAGGCACGAGAAGCCCACGCCGCACGCGCAAGCGAGGGGTGCGCGCGCGGCTGCGGCGTTGCGGGGGCGGCCAGACTTGCCGCGGCAAAAGATGACATGACTCCGACGCCGCGACAAGGAGAGCGGAGACTTGCATGGCGTCTTACCTGTCGCGGAAGACACGCCTGGCGCTCTCGCCGATCATATAGGTCGCTGCTAGGAGGAGCACCTGTTGCGCGTATTCGTTGGCCTGGGGCAGTCCTGGGTCTGCGATGGGGGGGGCGCCGGCCTGGGGAAGGCTGTGGCTGGCCTCTTTCCGAACGTCGCCTGCCCGAACGGGTCGTTGGCAAACGCGTCAACCATTTTTGCCTTCCTCAATTTCCAGTGCGAAATTTAAAGATCCGAACGACAATGGCGCTTTTTGAAACAGAGGGTTTGTCGACATTGCTGCGCGTGAACAGCTGCCCGCGCGCATCGCGTCAACGTTCCATCGATGCGCGGGCCGCGGATGACAGCCCGCCCCCCCGACAGGAATAAATGTTGCAGCGATCGTGCGCCCGAGGTCCACTGTGCGGCAGGTTGCGCGCTCGGCCCGCGCAGGTGCGCCTGCTCGGGCAATGCGAACGAATGACCCAGAGCGCCGTCTAGGCTGGGGGCGCGACCCGCATTGAAGCGAGAGCCGTTCTCCGCCCGGGGCTGGGGAGTGGAAGTCCTGAGTCGTGCGACGGGGGCAACTTGATGCGGCCGCTGCCGCTGCGCAACGACCGCCACTGCGGTTCGCGCGCCGCGCCCGAGATTCTGCCGCGCGTTTGCCAGCGCCGGCTGCGCCAGCTTGTTCGGGAGGGTAAGGAAGCAATGGTGTGGGTGGAGACGGATGGCGCGCCGCATTTACTCGCTGATATTGGCGCGCGCGGATGTCATCCCGACTGGCATAGCTACCGCCTGCTTGCCAACGCTGTCCGGGGGCGTCCGCTGCCTTCTAGAGACCCGAGCGCACGCCCGCATGTTACGCCGTATCCTTCCCTCGTTTTCCCTTTTTCGGCCTCCTGGGAGGCTCTCGTCGTCACCGCTGGACTCGCCTCGACATCCTGGTCACAACGAACCACGGGAAAAGGTTTGGGGAATAGCGGTATGGGTACTTTTTGGTGTCGCCACAAACTCGGGGGGAAGTGAAAGAAAATTGGCGTTCTCTCAAGGGAGGGGAAATCACCCAGACCCGATCATTCATGACTACTCGACGGCCTTGGGCGTTTACTATAACGGCCCTGCCCTGTTCGATCCTTTGTGTGGGTGCGTTTACTAAGCGGCTTCTCGTGTCGGGGTGATTATTCTGGGGATGGATTTTCTTGCCTCTTTTCTCGTAAGGCGGCGGAGCTTCCGCCAGCTTCGCCCGAGTGTGGCTCCTGCACAGGAGGGGGCGCAACCTGCGCCGATGCTGGTGCCGTACGCCCCGGTCGCTTCTGCCAGGCTTGCGCAGGTCGTTCAGATGGGGATGATGGGCCCACTTTTCACCCAAACGACCACAGGGAGGAGGAAGAGGAGGAAAGGAGGAGGAGGAGGAGGAGGAAGAGGAGGAGGAGGAGGAGGAGGAGGAGGAGGAGGAGGGGGGAGGAGGGAGGATGAGGATAGGATGAGATGGAGGATGATGATGATGATGATGATGATGATGATCGATGATGATGATGATGATGATGATGATGATGATGATGATGATGATGATGATGATGATGATGATGATGATGATGATGATGATGCTGATGATGATGCTGATGATGGTGATGATGAATGATGATGATGATGATGAATGAGGAGGAGGAGGAGGAGGAGGAGGAGGAGGAGGAGGGGAGGAGGAGGAGGAGGGGGAGGGGGAGGGGAGGGGGAGGGGAGGGGAGGGGAGGGGGGAGGGGGAGGGGAGGAGGAGGAGGAGGAGGAGGAGGAGGAGGAGAGGAGGAGGAGGAGGAGGAGAGGAGGAGGAGGAGGAGGAGGAGGAGGAGGGAGGAGGAGGAGGAGGAGGAGGAGGAGAGAGGAGGAGGAGGAGGAGAGGAGGAGGAGGAGGGAGGAGGAGGAGGAGGAGGAGGGGGAGGAGGAGGAGGAGCTCCTCATCCTCCCTTCTCCCCCGTTCTTCAAATGGTAGTGGTGGTGATCTCTCGCGGCGGCGCGCCGGCAGGGGAAGTGACCAGACGGGGCCCGGACGAGGACAAGTCCGGTTTTGAGCGTTGCGGAACGCTCGCGTCGGGTTGACCAAAAGGGGGTCAGCGACAAGGGGGTTGTGCAATAAATTTGGTGCAATGCGGTGTTGCAATACATTTGGGGCGCGCAATACATTCCTGGACGCAAATATATTGCTGGATTTTCGCGGGCAATGTATTCGTCGCAATACAATGCAATCACATTCTCCGGCGCAGTACATTTGCAACACAATTGCCCCAAATCTATTGCACCACCCCCTTTCAGCTAGACCCCTTTTTGGGTCGACCAATTCAGAGAGCGTCCCGAGCGCTCTGAGAGTCAGGGGCAACGAGAAGGGGGGGATAGGCATAGGGAAGGATGCATCGACCCCGAATCATCAAATGATCGCCGATAGGGGCCCGACAGCCCCAACCTGCCCAGGGAGGTGCGGATTCACAATCGGGACCCTTTCGCCGATCTATCGGCGATGTATCGCCGATTCTAGGTCGATGCATCCCCCCCTATTCCAGCCCCCCCCTATCGCTGAAGGCCGCGGCGCCCGAGACATCCTCCAGAGTCGCCGGATCTCAGAGGTTCTCCCCGGGTCTTATCCTCGTCCTGGCTTCGTCTCGAGCGAGAGGGGGCAGGCCCTTCCAGGAGGCGGCGGTGCTCCGCGCGCCTCGGAAGCCCCCTGGCCTGCTTAGAAGCCGTCTCTGCCGTCGGAGAAGGCCGGAGGAGGAGGAGGAGGAGGAGGAGGAGGAGGAGGAGGAGGAGGAGGAGGGAGGAGGAAGGAGGAGGAGAGAGGAGGAGGAGGAGGAGGAGGAGGGAGGAGGAGAGGAGAGGAGAGGAGGAGGAGAGGAGGAGGAGGAGGAGGAGGGAGAGGAGGAGAGGAGGAGGAGGAGGAGGAGGGAGGAGGAGGAGAGGAGGAGGAGGAGGAGGAGGAGGAGGAGGAGGAGGAGGAGGAGGAGGAGGAGGAGGAGGCCTCCCGAGCCTTCTGAGAGAGCCCGCCCCCTGTGCATCTCCCCCCTGTTGATCGCCGCCGACTCTCAAAACTGCCAACCCTGCGCCTCCTGCTGCCGTCGTTCGTCGTCGTCGTCGTCGTCGCCGCCCATCTCTTTTGTCATCGTTGTCATTGTGGTCGGGCCTTGGTGGTTGTCGTCCGTTCGTTGTCGTTCGGGTCCGCGGCGGGGAGTCCTCTTCGCGGCGCCGATGACAAGGATTGGAGTCGGGAGGCAGAAGTCGCTTGATGTGCAGTGGGGTCCTGTGCCAAGAAACACCGTGCATGCCTCCAGGGTGCCCTGGGTGTCTTGGTTTTCGATGGTTCTGCGATGAACAGCGTGGCGTTCCCACGCCTCAAATCAATGGACGCCCTGTGGTCTCAGGGTTGGGTATCTTGTGGAAGGTTCCTTGTGGTCGAGCCCCTACTGTATGGTGCCTCTATGTGTGTGTGTGTGTGTGTGTGTCTCTCTCTCTCTCTCTCTGTGTGTGTGTCTCTCTGTGTGTGTGTGTGCGGCGGGGTGCTGGCACAATGTGCTTGCGGCTCTGGCCTTCTGCCCGCCGTTCCCGCCCGAGGCTGCTTTCGCGTCCTTGTCGGCACGCCCTTGCAATCCGGCTGCATCGGCACCAGATGCACCGTCTGCCGCTGTGGGCGCGTCCTGAACGCCGCGCGTCCGCCGCAACTCGTTTGCTCTGCCCTTGTTCCGCAATCCGCTTGGTTGCGCTCGGCCAACTCCTGCATTTGCACGGCCGCCACGGCGGTCTCCACACACATGCGCGCTCGCGCATTTTTCTGGAAGTCTCTTTCTGCCCCCACCCAGACCACCCATCTGCTGCGCCAGGTGGAAATTCGCCCGAGCGTGTCCCCGCTGAATGCTCGCGACGAGTCTGCCACCTCGCCGCTGGAGCTGAAACTGTGCAGCGAGGGGTTTCTTGCCAACGGGGCGAGACGCGCCCGACGCCCCCCAAGCCATAATGGGACCACGCGGTTAAGGCAACGCGCGGTGGGTGGGTGGTTGCAGCGCCCCTCCTGGGAAGCGGGCGACCAGCAAGACATTCCCAGTTCGTCGTCTTCGTCGCCGCCGCCAAGGCCGCCAGAGGCCGCAGCTGGTGGCCCTGGTTGGAAGCAGTTGTCGTTCGATCGTCCTTGCCCAGCTTGCTGTAGGGTCGCCTGCGACCGTACCGCCAGGCAGTCCACAAGGCGGGCCCCTCGAGTGATGGGCGACTCTTACACCACCACTGCCATGTGTAGGACGGGGGAGAAGGGAGGTTGGGGAGGTCCTCTCCCTCTCCTCCTCCTCCACTCCTCCTCCTCCTCCTCCTCCTCCTCCTCCTCCTCCTCCTCCTCCTCCTCCTCCTCCTCCTCCTCCTCCTCCTCCTCCCCCTCCGCCTCCCCCTCCTCCTCCTCCTCCCCCTCCCCCTCCTCCCTCTCCTGCCCGTGGCAGTGGTGGCGGAGAATCGGCCCACCATCGAGCGCGCTCGTGCTCCTCCCCCCTGCGGCGGCCCTGCGGCGTCCGCGCCAGCCCGCTGGCCTCCCGCCGCGCTGCGCGGGGTGCCCGGCGGGCGGGGCTCGCCTTCCCGCGGAGGGGGGGCGAGGCGTCCCGGCCCGCCCTGGGCTCGGGTCGGGCACGTCGTCGTCCTGCAGGTGGATCTCGGGGGAAAGATACAGAATATGCCGAACATGTTCTTCCTCCTCCTCCTCCTCCTCCTGGTCCTCCTCCCCTCCTCCTCCTCCTCCTCCTCCTCCTCCTCCCTCCTCCTCCTCCTCCTCCCCTCCTCCTCATCCCCCTCCTCCTCCTCCTCCTCCTCCTCCTCCTCCTCCTCCTCCTGCTGGTCCTCCTCCTCCTCCTCCTCCTCCTCCTCCTCCTCCGCATCCTCCTCTTCCTCCTCCTCCTCCTCCTCCAAAACTGTTCCAAACATGGTAGAAAAAGAGTCCCCACATTATTTTTTGACCATTCTTGAGTGTCCCTCCTGTGGAGGGGCAGGCCCGACTTAACTTTAGGCGCATCAGACATATTCTAAGAACCTTTCGTGGTTTGCACGTTCTTAGATAATTTCTGACTGAGACCGTCCTGTATTAATGCATCGGGCTTCTGTTCTAAGCGCACTGTTTTCTTCTTCGACTAGTTTCTTGTGGTCTGCGAACACGTCCGTGGTAGGCCTATACGATACCGTGCCGGTCGGCCCCTGCTTTGCGGCCCCCTTGTGTGCCTCTTTTCCATCTTTGCCCGTTCCCTTTCCCCTTCCCCGTCGCCGTTGGTCCCCGCCCTGGCCGCGAGTGTCCCGGGTCTCGATCCCCAGATCTCCTTTGGGCCCCTGGGCGAGTGCCGTGCCCCCCTCCCCGCCTCCTCGTCTTCCCTCTCGCCCCCCTGTGCTTCCATTCAAGGGCAGACAAAAGCGCCCCTGCCCTGGTTTACGAGGCGCTGTGCGCTGCAACTCCCGTGGGCTGACGGGGTAAACCCTGCGTGATGTGCCGCGTCCTGGCGGCTCAAGGCTTTGGGGGTTCCCAGGAGGTTTACAGACCGCGCACTTGTAACCCAGGGTAGGGTCGTTTTTTCATCCCTCAATCCATTCGGGCGACGAAATCTATACATAATCCACTGCTCCCTGGCCAGGCCCATCCTTAACCCAGGAGCTGTGTATGCGCCCTCCTGGCCAAGCCAGGAGGGCGTGGCGTATACACCGCTGCGGGGTCGAGGATGGGCCTGGCCAGGGAGCAGTGGATATGTATAGATTTCGTCGCCCTATCCATGGCGTTTCCGGCGTGCGCAGGCCCAGGGGAACGACCACGACAAGAGCAGGAACCACTCGGAGGTCCGCGCGGATTTTTCTCGCGTCGGCGCTGGGGGCCCCCTTGGCGGCGCCCCCGACGCCGCCCCTGGCGCGTTCCGCGCGCCAGGGACGGGGGGGTCCAGCGCGGATCCGAGAGCTCCGCCAGGACCTCCGAGCTGTTCTGTTTGTGCTGTCTTTCGTTCCCCAGACGCGGAGGTTGGTGGACCTCCCACCCTGACACGTCGATCGGCGATTTGGCCGTTTTTTTGGCTCGCGAGAGGGCGCCGCGGCCGCCACTTCTTGCGGGTCCAGGTGCGTGGGTTTTGGTCCCAGGCCGCTTTCACGAAGTGGAGGCTTGCGGAAGGGAGGTTCGTCCACCGCCAACGAATGTCGGCGCTACATTTATGTCGGGCCTGTCCCTCTACAGGGGGAGTATTCAAAAGCAGGTAAAAAATAGTCTGGGGACTATCTTTGGAGTATTTTTGGGTATCTTTTGAATCTTTTTTGAGTGTTCTTATTCAATCGCTTCGTTCACTCCGCCGGCCCGTATTGCATGATCGCTACTGCTTCGGCGCGGGCTCGGGGCCATTTCGGCGCCGCCGGAAGGAGGAAGATGAGGATGGGGAGGGGGAGGGGAGGAGGAGACGATGATGAGAAGGAACGGAGGAGGATTAATATAAATATGAGGAGAAGGAGAAAGTGAAAAGGGCGGAGGAGGAAGCCTCTCGATGGCATCTTGCGGCGGTCTTGGCGCCAAACAGGGCCGTCGTCCAGATGCCTTTTTGGGAGGCCCTGGGGTCTGTTGAGAGGCCGTTCGGGGGCGCCTGGGAGACATTTTTGAATCCTTGTAGGGCCTCTTTTGAGCCTCCTTGGAGCCTCCTGGGGTCTCTTGGGGGCCTCTTGGCGGCATCTTGGGCCATCTTGGGGGCCTCTCGGGGCCTCCTGGGGCCCTCTTGGGGCGGAAGGCTTGAGGTTTCGGTTCGTGGTCCCCATCTTGGGCCCCTCTTGGGGCCGTCTTGGGGCTCTCTTGGGCCGTCTTGGGCGTCTCTTGGGCCGTCTCTGGGCCCGTTTGGGCTCTCTGGGGGCCTTCTTGGGGGCCTCTTGAGCCGTCTTCCTGCGCTCTTGGGGGCCTCTTGGGCCGTCTTGGAGCATCGGAAAGCCGAACATGCGACAAGGCCAACATCCTTCCAAAACCATCGTAAAATTGATGATTTTGGCCTCTCGGGGCGCTCTTGTGAGGCCTCTTGGGGGCCACTTGGAGCGTCTTGGCGGCTTCTTGGGCCGTCTTGGGATCATCTTCGGCGTCTTGGAGCGTTTTTTGGGTGTCTCGGGGGCCTCTTGGGCAGTCTTGGGGGCCTCTTGGGGCCCTCTTGGCGCGCTCTGGGGGGCCTGAGAGGCCGTACCCACGAGGAAAACCATCTCTGAGTAGTCCTTCCCGGGACCTTCCCGGGACCTTCCCGGGCTGCGGTCGGGGTATTTTTCGCCGGGGGACACCCAGGGGCCGCCCCGCGCGCCCGAACTAGAAGAATTGTGAACCAGTTACCGGAGATCTTAGCACGCCTCTGGCCCGTTGGGCCGGCGAATTTCCCCACATGCTTGGTGGGGTTATGGTTTTCTTCTCTGCCGCGGCGCACCCGCGTCTCCTCCTTACACCTCCCCTCCTGTACACACATGCACAATCACAGCACAGCACAGCACAGCACAGCACACACATACACATACACACATACACACAATCACACAATCACACAAACACACAGCACACCGCACACACAGCACAGCACAGCACAGCACAGCACAGCACAGCACAGCACAGCACAGCACAGCACAGCACAGCACAGCACAGCACAGCAGACCGCAGCACAGGCCAGCACAGCAGCGTGGCAGGCGTCTCGGTGCGCTAGGGGTGCGCAGAGGGTGCGCACAGCGTCCGTGCGCTAGGGGTGCGCAGAGGGTGGTCCCTCAGCGCGGCCTCTATCCGAGACACGCTCGCAGATCGTGGCAGGAGTGGCACTTTCTCGACACCATAGGGGTTGCGCAGAGGGTGGTCCCTCAGCGCGGCCTCTATCCGTGACACGCTCGCAGATCGTGGCAGGAGTGGCACTTTATCGACACCACAGGGGGTGCGCAGAGGGTGGGCCAGCCCGGCCTCTATCCGTGACACGCTCGCAGATCGTGGCAGGAGTGGCACTTTCTCGACACCACAGGGGGTGCGCAGAGGGTGGTCCCTCAGCGCGGCCTCTATCCGTGATACGCTCGCAGATCGTTGCAGGAGTGGCACTTTCTCGGCCCCACAGGGGGTGCGCAGAGGGTGGTCCTTCAGCGCGGCCTCTATCCGTGACACGCTCGCAGATCGTTGCAGGCGTGGCACTTTCTCGGCACCACAGGGGGTGCGCAGAGGGTGGTCCCTCAGCGCGGCCTCTATCCGTGACACGCTCGCAGATCGTGGCAGGAGTGGCACTTTCTCGGCACCACAGGGGGTGCGCAGAGGGTGGTCCTTCAGCGCGGCCTCTATCCGTGACACGCTCGCAGATCGTGGCAGGAGTGGCACTTTCTCGCCCCACAGGGGGTGCGCAGAGGGTGGTCCCTCAGCGCGGCCTCTATCCGTGACGCGCTCGCAGATCGTGGCAGGAGTGGCACTTTCTCGACACCACAGGGGGTGCGCAGAGGGTGGTCCCTCAGCGCGGCCTCTGTCCGTGACACGCTCGCAGATCGTAGCAGGAGCGGCCCTTTCTCGGCACCACCGGGGGCGCGCAGAGGGTGGTCCTTCAGCGCGGCCTCTATCGGTGACACGCTCGCAGATCGTGGCAGGAGTGGCACTTTCTCGGCACCACAGGGGGTGCGCAGAGGGTGGTCCTTCAGCGCGGCCTCTATCCGTGACGCGCTCGCAGATCGTGGCAGGAGTGGCACTTTCTCGACACCACAGGGGGTGCGCAGAGGGTGGTGTCTCAGCGCGGCCGCTATGCACGACGGTCGTCCAGGGCATAGCAGGCGTGGCACTTTCTCGACACCACAGGGGGTGCGCAGAGGGTGGTCCCTCACCGCGGCCGCTATGCACGACGGTCGTCCAGGGCATAGTTGGGGCGGCATTTTCTCGATACCATAGAGGCTGCGCGGGGGGTGGTCCGTCACCGCGGCCGCTATGCACGACGGTCGTCCAGGGCATAGCAGGCGTGGCATGTTCTCGACGTCATAGGGGGTGCGCAGGGGGTGGTCCCTCACCGCGGCCGCTGGCTGGCTCGAATCTGCCCTCGATGGAGGATAGAAGGCTAGGAAGAGGGAGGAGGTTCAAGCAATATGGCGTTGGATGGCACATCGGGGAACATTCGCGACGAGGGCTGTGAAAGCAGACTTGCGCATATAGTAGAAAATTTCAGCAAACACATAAGCTTTAAATTGAGTATGTGGGGTACCTCGGCAGCGTAATTTTCGTCCAAGATCCCCTACAGGGGGACTATTCAAAAACAGTAAAAAAATAGCCAGGGGACTATCTTTGGGTATGTTTGCGCATCTTTTGCATATTTTTGGAGTACTTTTATTCTTCGTCCAAGATCCCCCTGCAGGGGGACAGGCCCGACCCAACGCTACACGTGCGTCGCCCCCCCCCCCCCCCCCCCGGGGGGGCGGCGCGCGCGCCCCGAGGGATCTCACGGCAGAGGCTCCGTGGCGGGGCGCTCTCGGGCCACGCCGCCCGGGGAAACGGCACGCTGCAGGCCGGCTGTACCGTATCTCTGCTCGGGTCGGGCGCGCGCCTGCAAGGATACCAGATCGTACCAGCATGTCCTTGCGCGTCCCAGCGGTTTTTTGTTGTTTTTTTTCCTCTCTTCCTCTCTTTACCTTATATATACATATATAACACTGTTTCACTGTGTCAGTGTCTGACATCTTCACTGCCTCTCCGTGCGCTTCGCGCAGTATGTGGAGTCCCGGTGGGCCCATGTTTTGCCGCCGCTCCGCTCCGCTCCGCTCCGCTCCGCTCCCCCCCATCCACGGCCCCAGACGTGTCGTCCCTCCGTCTGTTGCTTCTCTCTGTCTCTCTCTCTCTCTCTTTCTCCCTCTCTACATTCAAAGTGCATCGTAAGGAATAGCGACTTCCCATGGTTACCATTGCTTCCTTCCTCTTCGGACAATCCTTTGCCGCTTACGCTGGCTGCGCCCCGCCCGCAAAATGTCGACATGGCCTCCCAAGGCCCTTGCATCCTTATCGTGTATCCTTATGACGCGCTTTAACTGTTGTTGGTGACGATGACGATCACGATGGCGCGCTCAGCATTCAACAAGCATCATCATCGTCCACGGTATCGTCATCGTCGTCATCATCGTCACCATCGTCATCGTCATTCCGTAGCCACTTTGGCTCAAGATGTTTTCGCCCCGTGGCAGAGAACGGATACCCTTGGTCCAGGTCCAGCGCAGGACCCATTTTTACGCCATCCTCGCGCCCGCAAGGTCGAGCTTCATGTCCCAGTGCCGCGCCGCAGCATGGTTCCTCCTCTTCGCGACTCTCGCGACGGCGGTGGGACCAACCGCGGTGGTGGCATTTTCAGTCGGAGGCCGTGGCGAGCAGTGTGGCCATGGCGAGTGCAGCAGCATGGAGGAGGCGAGCAGCGAGGTCAGAAAACATACTGCCAGCAGTGTGGCAAGTGGCTCTTCCAGGACAGGCTCGCTTCAGAGAACTTCGAGTGCAAGTGCGGGGGCGGAACGCGGCTTCGTAATGAACTACAGCAAGCAGGGCGAGATCTGGCAGCCCGCAGCGCAAGAGGAGTTCATGGCGCACTTCCAGAAGAACGCAAAATCGCGGGGACGCCAAGGACAGCGAGCAGCCACCAGCAGCCCCAGCCGCTGGCGCAGCTCCAGCAGCAGGCGCACCAGGAGACCCAACAGGAAGTGTAGGCGCAGGCGCGGCGCCAGCAGCGCCACCGAGCCCGTCAGCCGAGGCGCTCGCGGAGAAGGAGAGCGAGGAGAGGAAGGAGCTCGCAGCCGCAGTGGAGGCCGCGAGAGCACGTGCCAAGGCGGGTGGCAGCGCGCAGCAGTCTTAGCCAGACCATCTACATGCACAACCTCTCGACCTGGGGGCCTCGCCTGAAGAAGCGAATCGAGGCGAGCCAGGACTCCATCTTCATCTTCCCCGAGACGCACGCCGGCGCTGACGGGAGCAACGAGATCTTAGAGTACTTGGGCTTCAAGGGCTGGAAGGCGGTGGTCACGCGTGCCCAGCGCAGCAAGAGAGCGGAGCTTGCTGGAGGCACGGGGCTGGCAGTTCGGAGTCAGTACTCCGTGCAGTCCCTGCGGCACCTCGCCAATTGGTCGCCAGGGCAACCGACTTCCAGGACGTGGCAGCGGTCGCGTGAAAGTGGCGAGGGCAGGCGATCCTCGTCGTGGGCATCTACCTCGCGCCGTCCATCGGGGTGAGAGGCGAGAGCCAGGCGAAGCTGGCGCGGTTGACAGCGCTCGTGCTCGGACGCGCTGGGCCTTGGGTCGCCATCGGAGACTGGAGCGCGGGGCCGTGCGAGTTCAAGCAGGCGGGCTGTTCGACGCTGCTGGATGCGGTGGTGCGGACGCCCACAGACGTGAGCTACGCCTGCGCGCGCAACCCCGCGCGCGTGCTAGACTGCGCGCTGCGTTCGGGGCCTGTCTGGTTCATCCTGGAGAGCGTGGAGTCGGGCCAGAGCGATGCAGGGGGCCACTGCTGAGTTCGGCTTCGTCTTCGGGGAGTGCAGAGGATGCCCGGCCTCCCCAAACCGCTGCCTCTGCCTGACACGCCGAGGAAGCAGGCGGGCCCCAACAGCAAGGGGTGCAGGCAGAAGGCGAAGGACAAGGAGCAGAGCTTCAACGAGAGGCTAGAGTGCGCTGCAGAAGGGTCGGAGCTCCCGGCCTCTCTGGAGCCCGCCCGCCCGGGCGCGAGCGGCGGCGCTTTCGAGCCCGTCCGCTGCGAGGCCCTGCCGGGCGAGTGCAAGGTCGTGAACGGGGAGATGGGCGACCTTTTCGGCGAGAGCGAGTCCAGCAAAGGGGGCGGCCCTTTCAGCGACTACAGCGAGCAGGAGGAGGCGAAGGGGCCGAGGGCTACCGCCGACCAGATCTTCGGCATCGGGCTGGAGGAGCGCGGCCAGCTGCGGCCCCCCCAGGCGGGCCGCGCTTGCGAGGAAGACCGCGGGAGCTGAAGGGCCCCCCCAGACTACGCCCAGGACTCGGCAGAGTACGAGCTCGACCCCAGCGGAGCCAACGAGCTTGGCGCGCAGTTCGGCGCGTGGGTCCACGCGACGGAGCAGTTCTACCCGAGCATGCTGAGGATTGCGCCCAGCGAGAGGCGCGTGCACAGCGGGCGCGGGGAGGCGGTTTGCTTCTCCATGGGGGCTGTCCCCGGGGATGACGCACTGTCGCGCGAGATCGGCGGCTCGATCTCTTGGTGTGGTGCGCTGTCATCGTGCTTGGTGGAGCTGCGGCGATGCGGGGGGGGGGGAGGGCAGCGTGGCCAGCGCCTGAAGGGGCGAATCCAGGCCGTGGCCGCCGTCGCCCCCGACGGCGGCATCGTCGAGATGACGAGCGAGCAGGAGAGGAAGTGGCGCGGGGCCATAGTCAGGGCCCGCAGCATGGGCAAATGACAATTTCGAGCCCTCGGCGTTGCAGCCCTGGCAACGGCGAGGGAGGGGGGGCGCGCCGAGGTGAGCGGGGCGCTGATTGCTTGCGCCAACTGGGTGAAGGAGCAGGAGGCGATCGGCGGCGGCAAGCTGCGCCGTCGCACTCGTGACAAGACGAGGTGCGACAATGAGGTCAGTGGCGGCGACCGCGCGGCCCGTCGAGTACAGGGGCGCGAAAGGGGGCTCAATGGGAGCAGACGTGGACCAGCTGCCACAGCAGGGCTACCATTTTGACGCGGCTCGCGGCGGCGATCGATGAGGAGTGGACCCCCATCACCGTCGAGGGGCTCGGCCACGCGATCGACGGCGCGTCGCAGAGCAAGGCGAAGGGCATCGAGCAGATGGGGGCTTTGGCGTATACGTGGCTGCCCCCGAGCGCGAGGAAGGGGTTGCTGAACATTTTGGTCAGCATCGAGCGCGAGGGGGCGTGGGCATGGCAGCTTATGGTCGCGCTGGTGAGCCTACTTCGGAAGGTCGCTGGGGGCGATCGAGCGTTTGGGCTGCTCTCGGAGGTGGAAGAGATCTGGTTCAATATCAGGGGCGACTACACCAATGAGTGGGTGCAGCACGTGGCGGGCAAGTGGGGCGCCGCGGCGGCAGGCAAAGGCGCTCTGAAGGAGGCGCGCTGGTGCGTTCGTTCGCCGACGGGGTGGGCGCCCATGAAGGTGTGCGCGGCGACGGCGCTGTGGAGCCTGGTGGAGTTCTACGACGCAACGGAGCCGCTCCTCATCCTGGTGGAGGGCCCCAGGCTCAGGCTTCCAGCTCGCGCGTTGCACTTGGAAGTGCTGAACCACCTGGGCGCGCGGCTAGTCAGGGAGCGGTCGGCTTGCGCGGCTCCGGTCTCCCAAGAGCGCTCTGCATGTGCTGGGGCGCGCCGAGGCATCGACTTCGGCAGGGTGGCGTTGTGCGCCGCGCTGGGGAGGATCAGCAGCAAGTGCCAGACGGTGTTCGCGCGCGCGTGGGTCGACGCCGTCGCGGCGAGGCTGGAGGGTTCCCGTCGCGAGGTCGCGGGGCAGCTCGCGACGGCAGGCGCCGACTTCGCTGCGGGGCGCGGCAGGCCGCGCTCGAGCAGTCCATCAAGTCGGTCGTCATCGGCAACGACGTGGAGGTCGTGGAGGAGATCGCGCTGAAGCTTCGGGCGCGCAACATCATGGTGCAGGTGAAGGGTCAGGCCCCAGCTGTGGACATTGACTGGGGCCGCGGCATCGGCGGGGGCAAGGCGAGCGCGCGAAGCGCGCCGTCCGCGCGGGCCGCCGGGGCAGCCAAGGCGCTGAAGATGGCGCGCTATGGCCGCAGAGCCCGAGGAAGGGCCAGGCAGGTTGTGTTGCGCGGGTCCCTACCTCGATCGGCCTACTCGCGCCAGGTGTTTGGGGTGGCGCCCGGCGTGGTGGCGATGTGGAGGCGACGGTTGGCCTCGGTGGTCGCCCCGTGGCTTCGGGGCCGGGGCCGGTGCTTCGCGGCGCTGATGCATCTGGAGCTCGGCGTCAGCGACCCGGCCTTCGGTGCGACGTTCGCGCTGCTGGACTCGTGGGTGCGCGTCGACAGCGACCCGAGGCGCAGGCAGAAGGTCAGCATCATGTGGCCGAGGATCGTCGGCAGCATGCGGAGCAAGTTGGCGCGGCAGAGGTGGCGTGGAGTCACGGGCGCCACAAGCGCCATGGTGAACACGCTGATGGGCTTGGGGTGGCAGCCCCTGGCACCGGGTCTCCGACGACAGCGAGGAGTTCGGCGGCAGCGACCCGAGCGCCGCCGCGAGAGCCAGGAGAGGAGCTGCACGAGAGGGTCTGCACCGTAGAGCACCTGGCGACGGACGCGTGGTTCATTGCAGCGGGCGACCACGGCAGACCCGCGGCTCCGAAGGTTCGCGTGGGGATGGGTGGTCTTGATCTCGTTCGGCGCGCGCGAAGCCAAGTTGGTGGCCAGTTGCGGAGGCGCCCTAGCTGGATGGCGCCAGAGTGTCAACCGGGGCGAGCTCATGGCGCCGAAGGACGTGCTCGTGGTGAGCGAAGGCTACAGCAGAGTGAGGTCACAGCGGACTCGTCGCACGTGGTGCGTGGCGCGCAGAAGCTGGTTAAAAGGGGGGATCCCGAAGACGCGCGTGCGTGGACCTGTGGGTGGCGGTCAAGCGGAGCATCGAAGACAGGCAACTGAGCATCGCGAAGGTGGATTGTCGCCTGAAGGCGCAGGAGGCGCTGGAAAGAGGCGTCAACCCGATCGACTGGCTGGGCAATTCGATTGCGGACAGCTTCGTGGACGGTATCATCGAGTAGGTCCAGGCCCCGCGGGCGCGGGCGCGCTCCGTCGGCTTCGCGGAGGGCGTGGCGAGCTGATCAGGGGCCGCGCGTTCGGGGCGCTGATGGCGTCCATCGAGGTGGGGCCGTCGCAGGCGCCGAGCGTGAAGATCCAGAAGGAGGCCTACGCAGCGAAGTGGAGGCGCAGCTAGCAGCTGGCGGAGACCAAGCACAACATCATGTTCGAGGGGAAGCGTTGCAGGTGCTCGGCTCGGTCATCAGCCGCCCGAGGATCGGCAACCAAGAGGCGCATGCGTCGCGCAACATCGTGTGCGGCGAAGCCCTGCAGCTGCACTACTGCGCGCTGCGCGGGTGTACTGGGCGAGAAGGGAGGAGGGGCTTCGCAGCAGAGCGCAGCGAGGTGCCCATGCAGATGGGCAAGCAGAGCCTCGCGAGGATCCAGAAGCGACTGCAGCCTGGGACTTCGTCCTTGGTCAAGAAGAAAAATAATAATGAGAAGCAGAGTAGTAATAATAATAAGAAGAACACTAATCATAATAATAAGAAGCAGAACGATCATCATAAGAAGAAGAATAATAAGACGAATAAGACGAATAATAAACAAACCAACAATAATAAAAAGAAGAGCGCGGGGCACTGAAGGTTGCGCGCCGTCCGCGCGTCGCCTTTTCCCCGTGGGGCCCAGACTGGGCCCATGGAGCCGCTGGCCCATTGCATCAAAACATCATCGTCATCGTCATCATCGTCTCTCTTGCCACCGGTCCTCTACTAGCTAGCGAAAGAGGTGCAGCCAATGCCTGCGTCAAGGGCGGGCCCTGATGGCAAGGGCGCCCTGCGCTCTTTCGGCTGTGGCCACCCTTGGCGCGTTTGGGCGCTTGAGAGCCTCGGCCCCCGCGACGTTCCAAGAGCCTTCATCCTCATAGCTGATTGGAGCTGTGCAGTGGACGCCCATGCCAAGAAGCACCTTGCTCGCCCAAGGGTACCCTGGGGTTCTTGGGTTTTGATGGTTCTGCATTGAAAGCGTGACGCTCCCGCGCCACAAAATCAATGGACGCCCTGGGGTCTCAGGTTTGGGTTTCTCGTGGAATCTTTCATGTGGTCGAGCTCCTACAGCAGGCGCACCAAAACAATTTCTAAGAACTTTTCATGGCTTGCGTATTATCAGAACGTTTCTGGCTGAGACTGTCGTGTTTTAGCGCGTCGGGTTTATGTTCTAAGAACCTTTCATTTTTCTTCGCACATTCTCGGGTTATCTACGAACAGGTCGTGGTAGGCCTATACGAATGCCGGGACGGTCGGTCCCTGCTCTATCCCCCTTTGTGGTTTGTTTTTTCAATCGCCTTCTCTACCCGTTCCCTTTCCCCTTCCCCGTCGCCTCTGGTCCCCGCCCTGGCTCCGCGAGTGCCTCCTGGGCGGGAGCGAGGGCCCGTAACACCCCGCAAAACACCGCCAGGTCAACGTCTCTGCACGCCGCGCCCCCCTCGGCGCGCACCCGGCCTCGTGCGACCCGGACTCGAAGCACCCGGAGCAGCGGGGCATTCGGGATGGAGAACCAAACGGGGTTAGGACGAGGATGACTTAATTCAGGGGCAGTGATAGTGGCGGATAGGGCATCGGGGGGGACGCATCGACCCCCAATCACTGATGGATCGCCGACAAGGGCCCGATGGCCCCAGCCTGTCCAGTAAGGTGCGGGTTCACTATCGGGTTTGTTTCGGGCCGCGGCGCCCCAGACATCCTCCAGAACCGCCCGATCTCCGAGATTCTCGGTTTACCCTCACCCGATGTTATCTTCGTCATGGTTTCGTTTGAAAGAAATGTCGGGGGCGGGACAGACCTCCCACCCTGACACGTCGATTTGTGAATTTCCGTTTTCGGTATTCGAGAGGGCGCCGCGGCCGTCATCTTGCAGGCTTGCGCCCGCCAGGTTTGGGCCCGAGGCCGTCTTCATTAAACCACGTTTTGCTAAAAGGGGGTTCCGTCCGTCCCCGAAAGCGGCGTCAATGACACGTTGCCGTTGGTAGCCCGTCAGCGTGCCGTTTCTCCGTTCCCTGCCCGATGCGCCCGAGGGTGTCTTTCTCCTGCCCTGGCACGTCGATTAGCGAATTGGCCGCTTTCGGTTCGCGAGAGGGCGTCGCGGCCGTCATTCTGCGGGTCCAGGTCCGTCGGTTTCGGTCCTCGGCCGTTTTCCCTAAAGGGAGGTTTTACTGCGCAAAGGGAGCTTTCGGTCCGCCGCCGATTTTTGTTGGGGACTCCCTGGCCCCAGTCTACTTTTTCGGCGCCCTCCTGCTTCCAGCGTCGAGTGGTCTTCCCTCTTCCCTCCTCTTCGGGAGGCGAGCGGAGGCCCACCGCTGCTCTCGGCGCCCCCCCTCCCGCGGCGCGGCGCTGCCTGCCTCCTCCGACCGGCGGGGCTCGTGCTGCTGCTCCCCGAGGCATGTGGTGCCTGTCGGCGTGCCCTGCCGGCTTCGAGCCCTCGGGCGGCACCAACTGCGTGCAGGCGTGCGGGGGCGGCTTCCCTGCGGAGGGCATGGGCGTGTGCGGCGTCAACCAGGGCGAGCTCGTGATCGCCACGACCGAGATGGTGTCCATGGTCGCCAACGGCGCCATCGAGTCGTACCTGCTCATCAGCGACATGAAGGACAGGGGTGACGGGTGCAATTTGTGAGGCTGTGGGCTGCGCGCAGACAGCCCCCCCAGGTACAGTCAACGCGCCTAGTAAGGACGCGTGCCTTCATCTAGGGTACCCTTGAGTCCTTGCCTCTGCGGCCCGTCCTTCGCCGTTTTCACTGGCCGCCCCCGCCCCCAAAGTCCAGCTTCGGCATCCAAGGGTCTTGCGTCCTTACCACCCGTCCTTAATACACGTTTTGACTGTAGTCACAGCTGGCCTCAGCGGGCCCACGGTTATCCCAGCTGGCCTCAACAGGCCCCCCTGAGTAGTCTGGGGCGGTCTTCATACCCTGTTGCCGCCTCCGGCGGTGCCCTTGGGGCGCTCCGCAGAGACCGCCCTGGACTACTCGGGTGGCCCAGTGAGACCAGCCGGGACTACTCGAGGGGCCTGTTGAGGCCAGCTGTGACTACGTGGGGGGCTGTCTGTCTCTGTGATAAGCCCGAAGCCTGATGTACCAGCAGTGGGGACGGGTGTAACCAGTTAGATGTGGGCACCGCCGCCAGCGCCACCACCAGTGACGGCAGACGAGAAGTCCCGACTTCCTGCCGACGGTGTTGCATGCGCCAGTGCATGGCCCGCGCGCGCTCTGCGACTGGGGTGGTTCGGCGGTGGTCCGTCCCAGCTCAGCCACGCGCAGAGGGGGGTGGGGGGAGGGGGGAGGGCTTTTAGAAGCACCCCTGCTTCTTAGAAGGCGCGGGCCGTATCTATAGATGTAAGGCCGGCGCCTTCTAAGAAGGAGCCTCCTTCTAAGAAGCCCTCCCCCCTCCCCTCACCCCCTTGTGCGCGCCGCCAACCAGCGCTGCCAGGAGACGGGCGTGCGCGCCGACAAGCTCTCTGCCACGATCGACGTGTTCATCGACATGGGGAAGCCCTTTGCCCGGCCGCAGTGCCCCGTGGCGGAGCGGTAGGGCCCCGCCCTCTGCCCGGCCCCCCACGGCCGTCTCCAGAAGGTGGGCCTCGACGGTCGACGGCCTTACGTCGGGCCTGTCCCTCTGCAGGAGAAGTACTCAAGAAGGATCAGAATTTAGTCGGGGGACGATCTGTGGAGTGTTTTCAAGCACTGTGGGGCATTTGTTGGGGATTCTTTTGTATTTCCCGTCCCGAACCCGCCTGCAGGGGGACATGCCCGACCTGACGATGACCACGGCACCCCCTCGTGCAGGAGCCCGCGCCTGCGGGGGCTGCCTCTGTCGGGCGTGGCGTGGGTGCAAAGGTGCATGCCCTTCGCTCCCTTCCCGCCTCTGCCGCCTTTTGCCGACCCCCCGGCTGTTTTCCGAGAAAGGCCGGAGGCGGCATCCGCCGGTCCACCAGCTCTCTCCTTTCAAGCAGTGGCGAAGCGTCCTGGCGTGCCTACCGAACAACGTGCTGAGAACCTTTTGAGGTTTCCACGAAGTGTTCTTGGAACATTTCTGGCCGGGGCTGTTTTGTTTTCACACATCGGGTCTATGTTCTAACAGCACTGTTCTTGTTCTTGGAACATCTGGGGGTTCTGAGAACATGCCGTGGTAGGACTATAGGAATGCCGGGACGGTCGGTCCCTGCTCAATCCTTGTCTCATGCGGTTCCGTCGTCTGGAGCGGTTTCTCAGAATTCAGGCGAAGGCTGGCAAACCCGTGGCTGCTGATACGAAGCTCTGGGAAATTGTTTGTTTCTTTCGGTAGGAGCAGCCCGTTCATTATCCAGCGCGCCGAGTTTTATTCCGGGAATTTGTTGTTGTCTTCTGGGAAGACCGATTTAGCAGCCACGGATTTGCCAGCCCTCGCCCAGCTTTCGAGTTTCACTGTTTCCTGGCCCTTTGTGCCTAGAGCTTTCAATCCTCGCGGAAGCGTTCGCGTGCAGCATGCCGCCGCCTCCCTATTGGAGCGGCGTTTTTTTGTGTTTCGCAGCCGAATGCTTGCAGTGCCTCTACGCGCGAGTCGTTCCCTGATGCGTGGCCCCTTGCATTACAGAGCGACGCCCCTCAGCGCCGCAAGTGTGGTCAAGCATCTTTTCCATAGTCGGGCCGAACAAAAGGGGGGGATAGGGAAAGGGGGGGTTACGAGATCTGCTGCAGGCAGCTGGTTTCGGCCCCGCCGCCAGGCCCATTCCTCGATACATGGGCGCTGGGAGGCGCCGGGAAAATCAGCTACGTGAGCTGATTCTCAAACCCCCCTTTGCTATCCCCCCCTATCGCCCGGCCCGACACAGGCGCCGAGTGGTCTTAGAGAGGGTGAAGGGCCCAGTCTGCTCCCATGATGCCTCCTTCGCTCCCCCCGTCCCCCCTCTCCCTCGCTCCTCATCTACACTACACGCCCGTCGTTGACAGTAGGTATTTTTGGATGTCCAGATCCCAATCTTTTTCAGGCGCCTTCCTACTTCAAGAGTCGGCACGCTTTTGCTTTGTTTTGTTATTCCCTGGGGGGGCCTAGGCCCAATCCACTTACTCCGCCTTCCTACCTCATGTTTCTACCTACTTCGACCGGCGTGTACACATCCTGAATGCTCCCCTCCTCTCTCCCCTGACCCAGAAGACAGTCCGGATTCCAGCGGTTGTCTACTTCTCCTGCTTACTGTCGACATCTGGCTGTCTCCGCTGCCTCGCACACCAGTGCTCTCGCTGCAGCGCGGGGGCCTCCTTTGCAGGATCGGCGCCTCCCTCCCGTCGTGCAGAAGGGTGCCCTTGCCCCAGCGCCGGCCACTCTTCTGGATCCGAGTCCCTCTTCACATCGTCGTCGCCTCCCTCGTCCTCCGTCCTCCGCCCTCCCGTTCCTCCCGCTCCTCCCGCTCCTTCCGCTCCGGCTGCTCTTGCTGTTCGTCCTCATGTTTGTCCTGCTCCTGCTCCTGCTCATCCGCCACCTCCAGAGTCCGCATCTCTTCCTTTCTTCCCATTGCGCGTAATGCGATGTGGTCCTCTTCGGAGTTCAAGGTCCGCATTGTCGCGGGTTGGGTTATGCTTTTGTGTAAGAAATGTTGGAACGAAGAGGCCGTTCCAGAGGATTGGAAACAACCCACTTCTTCTACAATATATACAAGATTCCGCATCGCTGACGGAAGGCAGCTACCTACAGAAACACACGATCATTCCGGCAATTCGCAAGGCTATCCGTTTTCCCCGCTTTGGTTCGTAATGGTGATGTCGATCGTTGTGCTGGACGCCGCACGCCATGCAGAGGCTGGAGTATGACACGCTTTGACGGAAAGGTGCTTTGGCCATACTCTCACATGTTGATGGCTCTCTTGCTGGTTGGCCGCGATCAAGGTCAAGTTCAAGCTATTCCGGCAGAAGTCGCTCGCGCAGGGGCACGGGTGGGCATGGCACCCCCATGGAACAAATTCCAACTCAGGTCGGTTCACTCCGACTTCAATCTTCGCGCGCCGAACGATGATCAAACATCACCAACATATTCTAGGGTATAGTTTGGAGCTGCGCTGTCAAACTCTGGGCGGTTGTCTGGAGAGTTGTGCAGACGATTGGGAGCTGCTTGGTGTTGAACAAATTTGCTCGCGCCTGGGAGCACCCGGCTACCAGCACACACGCGGACCAGTCAAGCTGTTTGAAACAGTGGTAACAAGCACAATTATGCATTCTACTCCAGCGTGGATGCAGAAAGCAGGGGGGAGAATATGGGACGGTTTTCAATTCAGGATCCTGCGGCGTATTTTGAGTATCCTCTTGCGTACGTTTCACGACCTTCGAACAAGCACGTCCTGCTTCAAGGGGGCCAACAGCCTTGCACAACGCAGCTTTTAAAGCATCATCTCGTGTTGCTCGGCGGAGTCTGCAGTGCCGCCGCTTCCCGCCCGGTCCCTCGCCTAATGTTTCAGCCGGGCAGCTTCTAGGCCGGCTACAAATGCCCCCGCGCAGTAGTGAGGCCGATGCAACCATGGGCGAATAATCTTTTTCGGTTGTATTCTGCAGCAGTTCGATGCGCAGGAGCAGATGGTGAGCTTGTTTTCCTTCCCGGCGTAACGCTCGTTACCCGCCCCCCCCGGGTAACGCCAACGATCGTGCTTCGGGGGGGGGGGCTGGGCTTTCCCCTACACGCTGGGAGCGGAACCCCCGCAGGAATGGCGCTGAGCTCGCAGGCGCGGCGTGGTCCGAGCGGCACGCGATGGTGTTCACAAGCGTGTTGTGGCCCTCGCAGATTCTCCACCTGTTGCGGCGCCGAGCCCACAGGCGTGGCGTGGTGCTGACAGGCATGCTGGGGGTGCTCACATGTTCGTTGTGGCGCTTGCAGGCCACTGCAGTGCGCATCGGTCAGGCGGACTCGCTGTCAAGGTGCCCTGCTCGGGCGGCGGCGGGTCGGCTGGGCGGGAGGGCCGCCGTTGTCTCTGGGAGGTCGTCGCCGCTGCCCCACCTCCCACCTCCCCATGCCCCCTCCCGAGTCCTCCCACCTCCTCCCACCTCCCATGCCCTCCCACCCCCTCCCACGTTCTTCCGGGCCCTCGCACCTCCCCCCACCTCCGCCACGTCGTAGTTTTTGTCGCGTTGGTTTGTTTCTGTGTGTGTGATGCGTCGAGGACGGAAGTTTGCATCGCTGCGCGTTCATTGCAGTTGGCGATGTCTCAGCTACCGCAGGCTTGATCGATCACACCTTCACACACGCAGAATGTGGGGGTCTTGATCCCGCTGGACAGTGTTTGGTGGTGCTACGAAAAACCCAGCACACCACCACCACTGAGCCATGCCTCCGGCAGGACGCGTGGGCGGAAGAGTGCGCGACTGGCAACTCTTCGGATGAATCGCTAACAAATGCAAGACGAACGGTTATCCCACTAAATGGGATTGATCATTCTGCGATCTTACACCTCATTCTGCGATCTTGCACCTGCTTCGCGATTTTTCACTTCGCTCGCAGTCGTGCACGTTCGCATGTGTTCATGCACATACCGAGCCCCTGGGCCAGACCATTGACCTTTCTCAATGAGATTCAAGAAACCAGCCGGCGCGAGACCACGAACTTCTTAACAAGATGTCCTAACCATTTCGCGAGGTGTATTGCTGGTGCAGCTGAAATGGATGCGTCGGGAACCGACCATTCTCTCGTTGAGGGAGTTGAAGCGCGAGTGAACGAAGACGAAAGGGAGGAAGAGGGGATCCAGCCTACAGTCGGGGCCTCGAAGAAGGAACGCTTTTCGTTGGGGAGGGGCTCGGTGTTCCCTGATTGTTCTGCAGTTTGCCTCGGGTTTCCCTTAGGCTTTTGCACGGGAAATTGAAGGTTAACTTGTGGAACAGGGGCCTCGCTCCTTATTTAGGGTTCCTTAGGTCAACGCCCCGACTGTATGGCAATGAGTGGAACTCATAGACAGAGCTGGCCCAATGCTGCCGCGGCCGCCCCCGCGTTCTACGAGAGGCCCACTGCCTGAGAGAGCCGTCAACACTGTAGAGTATATTTCGTCGCCAGGCACGATCGACTTCCATCTGCGATCCTGGTGTGCAGCGCCGTCTGGTTGTCAGCGAACCTTTCAGAGAGTGGCTTCGCTCCCGCTTTGTCCAGCGCGATGGAACAAAACCATAGATTGGCCAGCTCTGCCACCTCCTCCCGCCCACGTAATCTCACATCCTCCCACGTTCCCCCGCCCTCCTCCCACATCCTATCGAGTCCTCCTACCTCCTCCCGCGTTTCCTCACCTCCTCCCACATCCTCCCCACGTCCTCCCGGGTCCTCCTACTTATCTCTCTCTCCCCCTTCCCACCTACCCGCACCTTCCCCCCGCCTTCCCCCACCTCCTCCCACCTCCCTCCACCCCTTCCCGAGTCCTCCCGAGCTTGCTGTTTTCAATGGCAATTTTTTTCCAACAAGTTCCAACTTCGGTGTCCAAGTGTCTAGCATCCTTACCACCCGTCCTTAATGCACGTATCGATTGTAGACCCAGCGCCATAAGACTGGGCGGCCCCGCGCCTTCTCCCGTAGGCGCTGCGGTGTGCGCAGGAGCTGTGGTTCACGCAGGCAGCGTGGTGCACGCCGCCGCTGTGTTGCACACGGCTGCTGCGGTGAACACAGGCGCTGTGGTGCACGCGAGCGCGGTGGTGCACGCGAGCACTGTGGTGTAGACCGAAGCTGTGTTGCAAGCGGCTGCTGTGGTGTGCGCAGGCGTTGTGGTGTACGCGAGCGTATGACCACCCATTACCCATCGCAGCGTCCAGGGGGCGGGCCACCTTGGAGGCGCACGTGAGGCGCTCGCGCCCGCCAGAGGAAGTCCCGCGGATCCGTCGGGACAGGCTGGCCGACCTGGTCCAAGGAGAAGCGCGCCACTGACGCCGCGTTCGCGAACGGGCTGCTGGCGCGGTTGAAGAGATCGAGGCCGTCCAGTCCGATGTCGCGGCACCGCGCGCGGCCATCGGGGGTTCCGTGTCGGGTCGCAGCGCCGACTTCGCGCCCATGACCACGGGCTTCCTC